CTTCCATTCAGCAGTAAATGCGAAACACCACAGCAGCAGGTTGTCTGGGAAACTCCTACCACTTGGCTCTCTCTGCCCTGAACGCTTAAGTTCCTTAAGTACAGACACCTTATTACCCTCGACATTTTGCAGTGTCCATCACACCGACCCGACTACATTGCCACTCCATCTTCCAGCACATTCTCCACTGAGACTTCAGCAGAGCACAGCCCACGCCTCTCACCCCAAGCATCTCTCTGCTGAGTAAGGCCTAATCACTTCATTTAGAGTCACAGCCTCAGCTTCCTCTGATTTATCACCCTGCAGCAGACACACTGCTGTCCAACCCAGCAAAGTCACTTCTAGAAACTCAGTGCCTCTCTGTGAAGTCAAGCTTCCAAGGGCAGGCCCGCTGCTGCTTCACTGCTGGGTGCCCACCCCTCAAAGTGGGCCTGGCCTGCAGTGTGCACACCCCACTCTTGGTTTACAAGTGAATTCTAATTCTGCTCACAGAACTCTTTCAGACCACTCTGAGCCGGGACTGGGATCGGGTTCCAAATCACCACCGCTGATGGCTGTGAAGCTTGGAGGGATGTGTGCGTCATATGACCTCAGAATAGGGGCTGAGAGCCAGAAATACAGGGTCAGATATGGACTGGGTGGTAATTAACAAGTGACTGTTGAACCAATGAAGAGCCAAGTGGCCCGTCAACCGCTAAGTGCAATGTGGAGACACAAGCCCAGGTCTCTCACTTTAACCAAGGTTAGAGTCAAATAGGTTAAACTAAGGCAAGTAACATTAAAGGAACACATCGGACAGGAGCTAAGGAGAGAGCCCTGTAGGAAGTGTCAGGGAAGCCCAGGGGCTTTCATGTTGAATCCCCAGACCAAATCGCTATCTTTGTTACCGAAAGCGGCACTCGGCCTCATTAATTGTTACGGCTTGTGTCTAGAAGTTCTCCAAAGCCTCATGCAGTCTTGGGGGTTAGGGGCAGGCTTTCCAGAGGTGGCTGAATCTAGACTCAGTGAGTGATTCATGGTCCAAATCCAAGGTTAAGGGCAAGTGCTGCACCAGCCCAAGGGCGGGTAGCCTGCATACAATGTAAGGGATGGCAAGAACCTGGTCTCACATTCCGGTTGCTTTTGTCGTCTTCTGCAGCCATGAAAGGCTGCCCCTCTGCCATATGCCACCCTGCCTTGGAGTCATCAGACCACGGACTAGAAGCGCTACACACTGTGAGCTCAATAAACCTTTCCTCTGTTAACTTTGGGTGTTGCGTATTTTGTCTCAGCAATGAGAAAAGTAACTAAGACATTAACTCTACACAACTAAGAAGCAAAATGCATCCTCTTTGGCACAGGGCATTTGACTTAATCCAGTAATGATGAATAAACATAAGATGGACAGTGTATTCTAAGAGCATCAGATCGGACATATAGGACAAGGAGAGTAAAGGAGCATTCAGATGGAATATTTGGAGGAGTCAAAAAACTGCACTAGTTAAAATATGGCACTGAGTTTTGGAGCCCAGCAGGAAACAGGGGTGAGCAGGGAGATAAGGAAAGAAGGAAGCTCACCACGATGGCATAATCTGATGGTTTATATTTAATGTGTGATAATCCCTAATTAACATTATACATCCATAAGTTGACATTTACTTCTCAACAACAACCGTCCGAGATGACATGTAGACTTTCTACTTCACAGTTTTTGATTGCACTTCAACTTGGTTCTCTATATTTAAAAAAAGAACAAATAAAAGTTGTCCTTCCAGCACACTAACCATGTCTGCCAAGGACTTCAGTGCTTTCCACCAAGCACGAGTGTTTTTGGGGAGTGTTAAAAAGAAGCCACAGTGCGGTACAGTGGCAAAGGGATGAAGGTGGCTGTGTGCCTCAAGGGAGCCCCGCTCTGGGACATGCTAGAAAATAGTCTTGTGCCCAGCCTGGGCTCTGTGGGAAGCCAGAAGGCAGGGCCCTCACGCACAGCAGAGGGCTGCTCTGCCGCTGACGCCCCTTGACACAGGAAGCAACACATGGGCCAAGGAAACATGCAGTGGCCCCCCTCTGGGTCTTGACCTGGTGATACCAGGTATTTATTATGGAGATGAGCCACAGCGCATCCCGCCATATGCAGGAGACACATATGGGTGTCTTCCCACCTGACTGTCATTGACCGACTTGCTGTGAACAAGACAGGAGGCTTGGTTCCTCAGGGGTGAGGAGCTGTCCACACTCGGTGCACACGTGGGAGGAAGGCTGCCTGGAGGAGGAGTCCGTGGCAGTGCTGCACGAGTATCGAGGAACCCACAGAGGGCCCATTGGCCTCACAGTCAGCTCTGAGGTGAAGATGCAGCTGTGTGATCACTTGGCGACCCCTATAGTTTGTATCTAGATGTCCCCTCAAGGCCTCATGCCTTCACAGGCGGGGCTTTGGGAGAAGGGACTGAATTACAGGGGCATGAGACTCAGCCATGAGTCAGCCCTCTGAGCTACAATGTGGTGCTGGGAGAGCAGCCTGGAGGGAGGAGGTGGGCACTGGGGGCGCGGCCTGGCAGGGTCTGGCACCCTCCTACTCCCCTGATCCTGCTCTGCTTCCTGGCCCCCTGCCAGGAGCTGTCTCTCCGGCCATACTGCCATCCCACTGTCTTCATGCCAGTGGAGTGTGGACTGAATTGTCTACAGACTGTGTGTCAGCATAAACTTCTCCTCCTTTCAATGTGTTGGTGTCAGGTACCATGTCTCAGTGACCAGCAGGCAAGTAGGACAGAGACTTTTTGGGGAGCTCTTACAGGGTGACCATGATGGTGCCAGTTTGCCACCATGGGAATCTACACTTTTAGACACTCACAACTTGCGCAACATGGTGCACCCAGACACCACTTCTGGCTCACGGAGCACCCCACAAAAGATCTGTCCATATCTGAGAGGCAACAGTAGACCAATAAGCAAAAACAGCTGGATTAACAAAAATCTCGCTATGCAATTTATCTTCTTGTTTTCATTTTCCTTACTCATGTCAACAAAAGAAAAAGAGTTTTTTTAAATTACAGATCAGAATAATTTTGTGATGGCTGCTGGTCCCATTATAGTTAGGACTATTTTCATATACCTTAGCAAAAGAACTAGTATGTGAAAACATCTTTAAAGAAATGGGAAAAACATTGAGTGATTAAAAATCTGGGTGGAGAAGAAAAAAGTGGGGAGTTGTTGGCCAAGAGGGGTGCAAAGTTTCAGACAGACAGAAGGAATAAACATTGAGATCTATTGCACAACAGTATGACACAGTCAATAATAACGTACTGTCTATTTCCTCTTTTCTTTTTTTCAGTCCTTGCCATGGAAACCAGGCCTTGTGTGTACAGGTAAACGCTTTACCACTGAGCTATCCCCCAGACCATATTATACATTTCAAAATAATTAAAATAGCAAAGTTTAAATGCCTTATGATAATCATCGATTGGTAAGGAAGGTGGATGTGTCACTTCACTTGATATAATCAGTTATATATATGAAGTACTGTACTAATAAACACGTGCAATTATGATTAGTTAATTAAGATTATTAATTTAAAAACAACTGGAGTCCAATATTCATTTGAAGACTAAGAAAGGTAACAATTTCCCATTTTTTTGATCAACAGTTTACTTAGTTTGGTTCTGAAGTTGTCTGTTTAATGTAAAGAATAAATTTTGAAATTATGTTTTTTAGCTATCAGGGTATTTATGTATTGGTCTAATGTCCCTGAAAGTTTTTAGATTAAAAATGATTTCTAAACAAAATTCTACTTATCAGATCTTATTTTAAGTAATTCCATTATCAGTCCACATAACCTGATAAAACTATATATATATATATATATATCTGCATACCTTTTTATTCTTTCTTGTGCATTTAACATGAAAAAATAAACTTCTCTTAATAGGTTGTGCATATCGTGAGGGAAGGCATGAGTAAAAGAATGCAAATGCAACACAGCACACTAACCAGCCAGTGCAATAATATTAAGAAAAGCACTTGGGATGGATCTACACTAGATGCACAGGGTGCTTGTGAAACAGTGGTCTCTAGAGGGTGCTATGATTGCAATGTGGTTTCCTGTCCCAGGGTCCCTGGCTTGGAGGCTTGAACCTTAGCATGGCAATGTTAGGGTGGAATTTTTAATAAGGGAGTCATGTTGGGACGTGGGGCATGATGGGAAGTGGTGCATGACGAGATGGGGCATGATGGGAAGTGGGGCATGATGGGAAGTGGGGCATGATGGGAGGTGGGGCATGTTGGGAGGTAAGGCATGACGGGTGTGGTAATAGGTCATTAGAGCTTGCCTTTGAAAGAAAGTCAGGTATTTCTGTGGGACCCTGCTTAGTACTCAGGATAACACTATACCTGGCCTCACATGGCCTCTTTCTTGCTTGCTGTTTTGAGCCAAAACTTCTCACCCACACACTTGCTCTGTCACCACATCCACCTTGATGTGACGTGGGCCAGAGACCACCCCAGAGAAGAGCCAATGCGGCACTACACACTGGAGCCCACAAACTGCAAGCTAAGCAACTCTTTTTCTTCATAAGTCATCTGCCTCACCTATCTCATAATTACTGGTGAAAGCTAATTAGCAGAGCTCTTTGTAACATAATTGTGTCCTTGGTCATGTGAAAGACAAAACAACAGAGACCTTCATTTCTCCTAACCAAAAGAGAACACTCAAAATGCGACAATGTACTGAATTTAGTTGATCAGAGAAATCTTAGATCCAGATCTTACTTCCTTTTTTACCAGAATGTGTATTTACAGAGAAGCTGCAATGATAATATTGAGTCCCTTGAGCACCCTTCACCTTCTTTCTCCTTCCATTGCACTCTTAGGTAATCATAGTCTTTATGTCAAAATCAGGAACTCAACTGGTGATGGCATTGTGCTAATTAAAATACAGAATTCCGCTTCCACCAGCTTTCCATACATGCCGTCGCTTGTTCCAGGCTCCAGCCTGAAGCCCCTACGAGCTCAGCAGCCCCCCTCACCTTTCGGTCTGTGTCGGGGTCCTCATCTTGGTACTCATCACTGCAGAGTGGGCCTGGCTGGGCTGCGAAGGTGGGTCCCTGAGAGTAGTACTGTGAGCTCCGGTAGCCGTCGCGCCTCAGCTTATCACAGTCTGCAGGGGAGACAGGATGGGGAGGGGGTTAGAAGCCCCACTGACTTACCCTCTTGATCTTTTCCAATAATATTTTCCTAAGATCGCAAAATATAGTAACAAAAGAAGGACAAAACAACTAGAGGACCAACATATCAATTAGGTCAATACACTACCAGCTCATCGCCAATGCTCATGGGCCCCAGGAGGCAGATTCTGCCACTAACTCTCCTTACAGGAAATGCAAAGCTAAGGTAATTAGATTATTTGCTTTGCAATGTTATACAAGAGAGCAGACTCAGATATTTAACCCAGAGCTTACTTACTGCACTATGATTTTTGATGCAGAATAACTAAATATAATCTTCTGCATTAAAAAAGAAAAAGCAGGATTTCTTCCTGGCTGCTCCACCAAAGGAAATTAAAAAAAAAAAAAAAAAAAAACAGCAATTCCCATGCTACACGTATCTACCAGACTCATCAGGTGAAAGTGGCATTGATTATAATCCTCTCATTTTATTTAGTAATTACTTTTCTCCCACGATCTCTCCCCCTCCCCTCCCCTCCCCTTCCCTCCCTTCCCCTTCCCCTCCTCCTTTCTTCTCCCCCTCACTAGCTCGCTGCTTGGTTTGCTGGGGATAGAACCCAAGGCCTCCTGCATGCCACTCAGGTGCTCCACCACTGAGCTACATCCACAGCCCTCAATTCCACTGCAGAACCATGGCATGGGAATGCTTTGTGGAGCTCCAGGCGAAGGCAGCTGCCTGTCTGAAGCACCAGAAGCGCACCTGGTACCCAAGGGAGAGGCAAGCGGACTTGGGGCTGTCAGCCAAAGGGAAACCACTGATAGGAGGTTCTCATCAGCACAGCTAGTGGACAGGACAAAAGTGCTGGTGGCTTTTAAAGCACCAGGCGCTTCCCTATGACTCAGGCATATTAAGGGAACGCGCACGTGGCAAAAGGCCTCGGCACAAGGATCCCTTAAGTACTCAGCTTCCTAAAGCCACACAGAATAGGTTTGGTTTTAGAAAAGTCTTCTCTTTACACAGCTGTGTACCTAAAGGCACAGAACTAAATTAGGGCATCTTCAGAGCTCCTGTCCTACACAAGGCCTCTGATTCTTCCTCAAACGGGAGACAAGCAAGCAGCCCTTCCTGTGGAGAGAGAAAAATATAGACTAGTTTTTCTAAACCAGGGAATAAAGTCTTTTTTCTCTTTTGCTGTCTCACAGTGGGAGTGGACAGAGAGAATTTCTAATTCAGTACTTCAGGTCAGATTTTTTAAATCTCATGAAAATAGTCAAGAAGATCCATGAAAATGTCAAACTGAAAAATATACATGTAGTCGCAGAAAGCTGAGTAGCTCTACCTCTATTACTTATTTATGGGTTAAATACTTAGTGGTCTGGGCTGGCACCTACTTGTAATTTGACTGTAATGCAATTAAATTTTTTTCCCTGAAACTTTCAGAACTTTTTTTTTTTAGGGAAGGGTCTGCAGGGTGTTCAGGGTCTCACTATTAGATCAAACTCAGAGTGATCCACCTGTTTACAGCCTCCTAAAATCTGGGATTACAGGTGCACACCATCACTTGCCCTCTCAGTGTGCCCTGGGGGCGAGTCTGGCACAGCAGGTAGGATTGAACTTCCAACTCCTGGGCTTGCTTGCTGGCGCTTTAATTTGCTGAGCTATTTGGCTGACCTTTCTAGTCTATTTTTAAATGTGAATTTATTCATACAAATCTAACCTTTATAAATGAGATGAAATATTTTTACATTTCCTTCACTTACTGGTTTTTCTACCATAAATACTGTCAGAATCTATAGTCTCACTCTATCAAAATAATATTACAAAAACATGATTAAAAATTTTCAGAGGGCTGGGAAGATGGCTCAGTAGAATAAGTGCTTGTCTGGCAAGCACAAGAATCTGAGTTCAACCCCAGGTTCAGCCAAAAAAAAAAAAAAAGAAAGAAAGAAAGAAATTTTCAGGTGTTGTTCTCTACAGAATTTTGGAATTCTATAAATAATTAACTTGAGTTCCTTCAACTAGCCTAAAGCTAAAATAAAAAAATAACATTGAGTCCAATAATTCTACATACCAAATTTTAACACCAATTAACGCCTAACTTCCAGTTCGGAGGCTTCTGCGCCCAGTGGAAATCATAATGCGTTGGTTTTCTATCATAAAGTTCATGTCTCAAAAATATTTAAGTAGCAGTATAATAAATTAGTGCGGCAAGTGAAATATAATGCCAGGTCTACAATTAAATTGTTAGTATAAATTTATGGCAGGTGACCAACTTTTACTTTTACCAAATGTATAAAATCTAGTAAATACATCAAATTCCACTGTCACTTAGCCTAACTCAAGGGGAAATCTAGGAAAACTTCCCCTCATTGTAACAGATCTGAAACCACGGCCTTGTTCATTAAAAACTGAGTTAATTGTCCTTAGAACGAGATGTGGGTAAGAACCAGCCGCTATGAGTAAACAAAGACTCTTCAAACACTCCCTACAGAGTAACTGTGAGGCACAGCATAATTTAAAGCCAGGATATGACACAACTATAGGCCAGAAAGAAGAGCCCAAGGAAGATCTACACTTACCACATACCTTTCTTATAATAGAAATTTATTTGGAATAAAAACGTGTTATTGTTCTTGCCATACTCCTTGGATAAAAGTATCACTATTTGTTGAGGTCTCTGACTTCTAAACTAACAAATTTCTCTCCCTTCTTTTCATGAAAAGTAAAAAAGTTCTACAGCACAAAGACAATGGACAAGAACTTCTTGATAAATCAAAGTTTAAAATGTAGAGGAAAAAAGTAAAGTCATGGAACTAGATGGTCATCCAATCGTCCCATGCATTTAATTGGAAATAGTAAGAGTTGACTAAAAGAAGCATTTTTAAAAAGCTGTTGTCAAGATAATTCTATGAGAAACTCTTATTGAATTTCTCCTTTCTATGTTATTGTTCATTGTAAATTTACTTCATCAGTCAAAATCAACTAGTATACGTAGCAGTTACAAATAATCCCAAGATCTAAGAGTTTCTTTTCCCCACAGGAAGAAATACAAGCTGGCAAGGACTTTGCTCACTGTGGTCACCTAGAGTTGAGACAGGTGAAAGCCTCAACGCATACTCGTGACTCCACCTGGCTATGCGATGAGATGCGGCGCTCCGGCTCTTGGGACTTCCGCTAGGAGCTACAAGTGAATTGACGTTCACTCCAATTTTGCACAGCTCGCCCTAACTCCAATGGGGCAGGAACATACTCCTATCTCTTGCAAAAGCGTGGAAAATTAGTATATTCCTGAACAGTTCTAATGATGCTCCCAAACAGAAGATTACATTCAATCTGTTTCCCAGATTCATGCCACTGCATCACTCAGCACTTAGTTCTACTGTCTTTCCAGTCCTTCCGTGAGAGCCTTTTGAGGGGGAACTTGCACGAAGAGCGAACATCCCGCCTTCTGTTTTGCTAACAGGAGGCTAATTATCAAGGCAGATTCCAGGTTGGGGGCCAACAAGTGCTGTTTAGCATTGCTTACTACACTTGAGACCTCAGGGAGCATTTAATCTCTTGGAAACTCAGGGTCTACTTTAGGAAATGGGTGCTATCTCTTCTGAGAAGCTGCAGTGGGGTTCACTCCCCCAAGGCTTTCAGACACTCTGGTCTGCTCTGGCACTTTTCAGTCCTAGATGCCGGAACTTTGCACTTGGCCCTCTATAAGGTAGGTACTCAAAACTCACCCAACATTGTCAGAATTCACCACATAAATGCTAGCTGCCTTGAACTCTTGCATTTTCAAAGCCAGGAACTAAAGAACTTGGCTGTACAATGCCTTACTATGACTCTCATTTTACCACGTTTGGCCCCATATTCACTAAAATGTCATAGGCTGTGAGCATTTTCTTAAGGGAAAAAAGACATTTCTCAGATCCTCTCCTTGTCAGTGGCCTGGACCCTTCAAACTTCTGCATCGAAAACTGAGCTACAGAATTCAAATTGATCTAACTATGGAATTTATAAAGTTCTTTCATCCATAACTAATTTTGTATGACATAAAGCTTTATGCTGAGGAATGATTTTATATTAGAAGAGTATCAGCCAGGTGCTTCATAAAGATATTGCTATTTCATAACTACTAGAAGCCAGGAGAAAGCCGGCATGGTGGTACATGCCTGTAATCCCAGTACTCTGGAGGCTGAGGCAAAAGAATCACCTGGAGTCTGAATCCAGCCTTGGGCTACACAATGAGTTCAAGGCCAGTCCTTACTACATGGTGAGAACCCTGTGTCCGGCAGAAGCAAGGAGAGAGAAGCTGGGTGTCGTGGCACATGCCTGTAATCCCAGCACTCCAGAGGCTGAGGCAGGAGGATTGCTGTGAGTTCAAAGCCAGCCTGGGCTACAGAGTGAGTTCAAGTCCAGCTTGAACTACATAGGGAGACCCTGTCTCAAAAGACTGAAAAAAAAAAGGGGGGGGGTAGGAATGGAGGTGATCTGATGTGACAATATGTGAAACTGTATTCCCCCAAAACACACATTGAAGTCCTAGGCCCAGCTACCTGTGGATGGCAAAAGTAGTCTTTCCAGGCATAACCAGGTTCAAATGAGGTTATCAGAATGGCCACTAGTCCAGTACAAGGGATGTCTTCAGTTGATGAACCAGAGCCCAGGAGACCACTGAGACATAGCAAGAGGCCCATGTGAAGGCAGGGACTGGAGCTCCGCAAGCCAGCACACCCCAGGGCCACCAGAAGCTGAAGCAGACAGAGGAGTTTCCTCCCCTAGAGGTTGGAGGGAGCCTGGCTTTGCCTCCATCCTGATTTTAGGCTTTTAATCTCTAGGCCCGAATGATGAAACATTGCCATTGTTTTCAGTTTTATAGCACAAGATATGGAAGACATTAGTGTAGAATTGGGATAGGGTTTGCTTCCTGGTAGGAAGCTCAGCCTATCCTGGAAAGATACCTCAGTAAGAACCAGCCTGGGGGGCTGGGCATGGCGGCACATG